GCCAGAATCATTAGTTCTGGCATTTTTTTTTCAATTTTACATGTAAAAACGCCGGAATCATTAGTTCTGGCATTTTTTTTTTCAATTTTACATGTAAAAATGCCAGAATCATTAGTTCTGGCATTTTTTTTCAATTTTACATGTAAAAACTTAAATAAATGTTTTCGTAACGTTCTTTAATAAACAATGAAAAAAAGTTGCAAAAATGTTTCGTTTATGCATGCATTATTATATAAAAATATTTCGCAATATTTTTTGTATAATAGCTCATTTGACTCGTGAGCCAGCTCGAGCTTTTTGAGCCAAGTCTGTTAAAGGCTCGAGCTTTTTGAGCTGAGCATAATAACTGGCACGAACTCTTCCAAGCTGGCTCGTGAGCCACCAAGCCAATTTAATCATGGCTTGGCTTGGCTCAGCTTGAAAAGCTTGAGCCAGCTCATGAGCCAGCTTGGCTCGTATAGAGCACTAGTTACAACTTACTACACCAGAAGATCATGTGGAAAATTAGGATCTACTGTGCCCAACTGTGCTAAGTCAATTTAGCCATAGCCTATATAGCCTATTATTTTTGTTATATTTAATTATATTAATTATATTTAATATAAATGATATAATTATTTTATTTATTATATTTAATTTATTTATTATATTTATTATATTAGTTGTATTTCTTATATTTATTATATTTACTATATTTATTATATCTATATGTAGTAACTTTTATATAAATAATGTTGGTATTTTCCTTCGTTATAAGTTTAGTTCCTTCAGTTCACCTTAATTCCTTTAGTTCTTTCAGTTCGCATTAGTTCTATTCTTGTAATTATAAAGTTCTATAATAAAGTATAACCTTTTACACTATAAACAAACTTCCTATTTTAAGTGTGTCTTATTTGATTGGATTTCAGTCATAGTTAAACGTACTTAATTTCCCTGACTGCAAATCATAGTTAATCTATTCAACATACCAAATCGGTTAACAATGCTAATACCCACTATTACTAATGATAGATACTTTACCAACAAATTTACCACTTTTTCTTATTCTTTTTCTTTGATTTCCCACCTTTCTTACCTTTTCCCTTTGAGCAGATTTTTCTTTTTTCGCCACTATTGTAGGAATATTTTCTGATCCAATCTCCTCATCAGTTTCATTACTACTAAATGATCCCCTACTTAATTTCTTCTTATTACATCGCTTTTACCAATTTTATTTTCTAAAATTTCTTCATTTTTAATTTCAGGCAGACGTGATGAACAAACTTGATTTACCTTATTGTATAGACTTATATCCTCTTCAGAAACTGGTACTTCTCCAGTTTTTACTTATTGTTAGTGATGTCGATTACTTTATCTGGAGTCATATGATCATTCATATCTGACCCTTTTTCAAGAAAATAAACTGATGACGTACCCTTTCAATATTTGTTCATAATATCTACCACTTCTTCTTCATTCACACTCTTTACTACTGTTGCAGACTTCAAAATTTTCTGTGTAACTATTTTCTCAACATTAGTTTTTTGTATTTCTTCAAACAAAACTTGCGTTTTGTTTATCTTTATTTACATTACTAGCACTGAAATTAATTGTACCCAACCTTAAATCCATCATTTTACATAACTTTCTCACACTTTGACTGACATTATCTTTAATCATTTCTTTTTCTTTAATATGTCCTTCAAGTGGCTTCAACTGCTCTTGCCACAATCTCCCCTATATCTTTCCATATATATAAACTCAAAACCTCTTTTTTCCTTACTTTCACTACTCATGAACATCCCAACAAAAATCCTTTCTTGTGTAAGACCTGGATTATCATTTCCGCTTGAAATAAATGTATTAAAACTTTTTTTCTTTTAAGAAATAATCCAAACATCTTCCATATGTCCTGTAACTAAACTATTAGTAACTGCTTCTTCCAATTTATTCTGATCAGCAAAATATGTGTAAATAAACCTTTTACCTTTGATAAAGATTATTTTGGCGAAGAACCATCCTTGATCTTTATAAAACTCCTTAATTTTTTCATCTGAATGATTTCTTAATTCTTCCTTAATCTCTTTATAGGTTACAAACTTAAACATCTCCCTAATTTCTGATAATTTTTTAGAAGCTGGAAACTAATGGAACTAATACATTTTTTTGTCAATCAGCAAATTTATGCTATTTCTGCTTCTTCACTTCACATTTTCCTGTCCTAACTTTCAAATAAATTACCATTTTAACTGACTTATACTTGAATTGATTTTTGATTGAAATCTTTTTAACCAAGCCCAAGTTTTTAAAAATGGTAATAATTTTATCTTCCTTCCATTATGCTGGAATGTCATACACAAGCATCTCAATTGGCGTATCACTGTATAATGATATATCAATTTTTTCAATTGGTAGTTGATCAACTTGAATTTTAGTCTATCAATCTACATAGAACCCTGCTTACTTATAATATAGGTCACTGTAGAAAATTGGCCCTTTACTAATAGTTTTTACTTTACTTTTTTCTTAAATTCTATTGGTTAATTAGCTAAAAAGGAAAAAAATCATAACAATGTAACATAAAATTTCCTTTTATAGTAGGATCTGCAAAGAATTTTATATATGATTTTTATCTTAGGCCTTGGGGTGACCTATCTTATAAGTAAGCGGGTTCTATTTACACCTTTCCCTTTACGGTTATTTTTTGTGCTTGACTTTGCTTTTTTAAGTTCCAACCTTATTGATTTAACTTCTTGAGATACTTTCCTAATTTTCTCATTTTTCTCTAATATAATTTGTTCCCTCTGTTCAGCCTCTTTAACTTTTTTAATCACATTATGTGACATTTCTTTGTTTTGCTGCTGCGCCTCCCACAGCTAATATCCAAGGTCAAAAATTTCTCTTGAAAGTCTTTTTATTTCCTTTCTATAGACTTTATAAGATATACTGGTACACTTTAATATTATGTCTTTTATATTTATTTTTTGTGTACAATGTCTTGTCTTATCAACTCTAGAAACGTATTTTTTACTCCCGTAAGCTCACTGTTTCTTTGCGCTCTTTCTACTACAAACTTTGAACCTTTGGAATCAGCACGAAATGACTCCTTACTTTCCTTAAGAAACTTATACCTATATTCTGTAAAGTTACTGTATATGCTGACTCCATTTTTGTGATTATTTTTGAGTGTTTTAATAGTAAACTCTTTCGTAAAACATATTTTTTTTTCCGCAAAAATTTTGGACAGAATGATTGTCCTTATTGTTTAGAATTGGTTTTTTTGAGTAAAAAAATTGATTAATAATTAATTTAAAAGGGTAAAAAATCCTGTATCTACTGATTTGTCATGGCATGCTTGTACAAAGATCTCCAACTGAATCTAAAGAAAAAAAATGAATAATTTTTTGAATTGCTTTTTTTTCAAAAAAAAAAAAATTAGGCCAAGCAATACTAAAAAAAAGAAGAAAGAAAATTTAAAAAAGAAAAAAGATTAGCATTAGTAATCAAAAATAAGCAGTTAGAAAAAAATCATATGACTATTTATTAGAATCTGCATTATTCTTTATCCCACAATTTTGACAAAAAAAAAGAATATATATAAATACTAGTTGATCGTATAGGTGGATTTTCCCAATATTACCTAGAAATTTTTACCCTTACATTTCAAAGTTAAATATTTTTATAATTAATTTAAGATCTGGCTATAAATCAGTAAAAATTACTATTGTAAAGTATCGCTGCATCCAGTGCAACAAAATGAAAATGTTACATAGTATTTTATAGCAGAAAAACTACAGCTTTTGAATGCATTATTAATTTTCCTTCTGATAAAAGTTAAAAAAATGACTTGTCTTTGTGGTGACAGCAGATTCTTATTATTTACGAATTTTACTGATCAACATGAATTAAGCTTATTTTCCAGTTTTATTTCAAAAAAATTTTGCGTATACTTAATTGTAAATAATTTTAATATAATGTTTAATAAAAAACAATATGTCATTATCTTCTGTTTAACAATATGAATTTAAATATAATTTCATTAAATTATTTGATTTATAATAGTTTATAAGCATTAATTACCGATCCGCATGTGATCGATAGAGTTTCTATAATAAAATATGGCGCAATTTTTATATATAATAATGTTGTTGATCATTTTGTATTAAATAAATCACCAATTATTTGTTATAAGATTGCGTAATTTACTATTACAATTGTGCGATGAGGATCTTCAAAAAGCAAATTGTAAAAAAAAAACCATTTATTATATTGCAGTTTACGAAGTTTTATATAGGGGAAAGGAAGATTTCATAATAGTTTTATTGATATAGTCCGCTAATTTCTACTCTAACAAAACACTCTCTATAAGTTTTTAACCTTTTTTTTGGCGTTTATTGGGCCTAATACTACTTTTCGCAACTGCTCCACTTTGATTACTTTCCATATTTTCAACCAGCGCCTTCTCTGATGCTACCTTTTTGAAATTAGCACTATACCTTCCTATCCATTCTTTGATGGTTTTTACTGTTGGTATTTCTTCCAAGGTAAGTTCTCCCTCTGCAGCCAATTCTTCTAAACAGGTGTGCATATTTTCTGGTGAATAGCGATCCACGGCTCTCAGATTTCCAGCCAAAAAATAACCTTGTAAATACTGAACAACCTTTTTTGATATACGTTTACCTCCACCTTTATTACCAAGTTTTAGATTTTCCTTCAAGGCCCATCCTTTTTTAAGAGGAAATTCTTGTTCAAGGCTGAAGATTTAGTTACTTAGCGTTAGTATTTTGCTAAGTATAAAATAAGACGAAAATTCATGGCGATATTACCTTATAGCTTGGCTCTCAACGATTTCATTCATCACCTCATTTATTGGAAACTCCGAATCTTATAAATAATTACAGGTAATTATTTAGTTTTCCATGATTTCAAATTTGCAGCAATAAATAATTATACAACCTGTTTTTATACTAGGATTCGGCATTATCCAAGGAGTATTTGGCTCAGTTGGCTCTGAAACTGTTGGGAAGGGTCTGTAAACTGTACCACAAAGGTTAGCAATTTGTGCAGGAGAGAAATCGATCCATTTGCCAATATGTGAAAGAGAGCATGCATAAACGCATTCAGCAAATTAACCTGCTACAGGCCAACTCCACCCAAATCACTTTGAAATGCTGGATATAATTTTAGATTTTTTTTCTTTGATATTTTTGGTATTTTTTGGTTTTTGATTATCCCTATTATGTAATTTTATAATTGATATTATTTTTTTTTTTGCTAGCGTTCTATCATTTTTATTACGCTCCATTATTTATGAACAATATTTTTTATTTAGTTTTACCAGTAATTTTTTGTTTCAGTATTCTATTTATTGTATTTTCATCAATTATAAATAATTTTACCGGTATAGTTGTATTTTTTTTTTGTTTATAAATAAAATCAAAATAAATTACACTTTTGATCTAATATAAAATTATAAACCTAATGATTCTATTTTTTATTTTTGTTTTACTAGTTTTAGTGTTCTATTTATTGTATTTTCAATTATAAATAGTTTTACTACGTATTATTATTTTTTATTACAAATAAGATTTCACAATAAAATTACACTATTGATCTATTATAAAATTATAGATCTATCATTCTATTTTCGATTATATCTTTATTTTATTGAGATAATTGAAAATAAACTTACCTCGAATTTTCTTGATCTAAATTTTCTTGATCAACTAATGTTTCTATATCCCGATTTGGTTCTATGTGTGATACTGATGTCCCGCTTAGATCTTGAAGTGCCATTTCAATATTTTCGCCTTCAGTAAGATCACATCCAATTCTAACATATCTTTTGATCGCATGTGCAATCTATAATTGTTTAACATAAAATGAGAAAAAAAATAAAAATTACATCAAAATAATTATTTACCGTTGCGTGATGCGAATCAACTGTTGTTTTCGCCTCTCCTGGTTCAAGAAAAATCCATCCACGTACTTCTACATTATACCAATCATACCAATGACTAATGATTGCCATTAGTTCTGAATTATGATAATGTCCTCCATTATCCGAAATAATTTTAATCCAGAGAGGTTTAGGATTAATTGTCATAAATACTGATTCAAAACATGACGCTGTAAACCAAGCATCTTGCTTGGTATCAGAACTCCAATGGTCATAAGCCTGAATATCTAATTATTCGGAATTATTTTTGTCTTTTTGAAACACTAGAGTCGTATGGAGAGTCCATCCACGCTTTCCAAAAAATTCACTCTTTGTTTCCCAAGCTGTTACAGGTAAAATTCGCATTTTGTAATCAACTACAATAATGGCTACATGGTCATCTAATTCACATAAAATAGAATTAAATTGAGCATTTAGGTATGCTTTACGAGTTTGATGAGCCAAATAACATGTTAGTTGTTCTTGATATTCTAAGAGTTTTGGATGATGGATAACGTCAAGTTGATTAGTAAGATCTTTGAATAAAATAAACATTTTGTCACACTCTTGACACCGTGAAAAATGTTGTTGTGTGCATTCTCCAAATGCAAATAATAAACAATGATTAATACAATTCACATGATCGGTAGTACCACTCTTATGTACAAATAATTCCCTTTCGTAATTTCGCTTTAAATGACGACGTAAACATTCTAGTTCATGGATTAACTGATCCTACAAAAAAATTATATGTAAATATAATTAAATTGAACAAGAAAATAAAAATTCAACCAATAATACTAACCCTTTGAATTTTATTGGAAAAATTTATAGTCGCTAATTCAATCAAATTTTCAAAAGGTTGATACCTATAATCATTGCAAGTTATACACAACCCTCCCAAATCTTCTCTATATTTGAAGCGGCTATTTTGTAAACGGGACATAAAAGAAGTACGTTTCATTCCATCAGGATAAGTAGCAGAAAATTTTTCCCAAAGAGCACTTTTTTGATCTTTCAAATAAAGTATTGGTAATTGTGTTTTTGCGTCTATTTTGTAAGAACTCATGTTTATATTTGCTTTGTCTGCAAAAAATAGTTGGAATTCTTTTTCTTTGATCTCTGACATTTTTGAACGAACAATAACTGGCTTTTCCAGTATAGGACATCCAGATCCATTAATTCTGGAATGTTTTTGTGCTGCATTAACTGAATTAGGTGAAACCTAAATAATTATACTAATGAGTAATGAAATATTATATACATGTCTCTATAATATATCAAAAATTTCACACTACCTTTAACTCTTCAATTATCTCCTTATATGTAAATTTTTCTGCAATTATTGATAATATGCGTGTTTTACCATCTATTCCTTTGGAATTTGTATTATAACTATTACGAAAATAATCCCATAATGCACGAGTTGGTGAAGTTACATACAAAAGTCCTTCTGCATATAATTTGGCAATTGTTTCACGATCTTTTTCAGGTTCAGATGCATTCGTCCAAAACTCCTTCTATAAATGTACAGATTTACAGATAGTACAGTATTAATATTATAATTTTACAATATCAATAACACCATATATGTATTTATACTTACACAAGAAATATTTTTGTTATATGGAGTAATATTTGTACATCCTGTAGCACGAAGCATAGTATACAACGCCCGCAATTCTCTTTCTTGAAATTCATAATCTATACCGTATATATCATCAAGATGGGTATATAATTCAATAATGCTACTTTTTTGTTGTATCCAATTTTGAAATATTTGATGCCATTCAACTGATCGTCTAATATTTCTTTTTAAATACAATTCATATAAATGCTCCATAATTATTTCGTTATTCCAATCTGCAAGTGTGCATTCATTAGGCAATTTATTTGAATAAAGTTCTTGACGTGCTTGGTTTATTCTATCTAAAATTAGAGAATGATTTATAACAAATAAAGTTTCACCTAATATAGATGTCAAAACTCCAGTTTTTTTCCAAACAGCGTTAGATGAAATATCTATATATTCAGCAATGATTTGACTGTTTTGATATATTGTAATTAAAAAAGAATTTTTATCAACGTGTTGATAAAAAACTGATTGTACTCTTTTGTATTTATGAAATAATGATGCTGCATAATTATGGCCAATTTTATTTGTTTTTGATATAGTAATTTTACCAAGACAACTAACAAAAACTGTGATATTTTCTACTTCAACAACAAAAGGACGAAATATGACTCCTTCTAATAGTTTTTGTGCTGTTTCAGGTTGGTCTATACCTAAATAAGAGAGTCCTGCATATTTCGTTTTACTACCAAAAACAGATTGATAAACAGAAGTAATAGCCGTGGAAGCACTTGTATTAATACCACTACTTTGTCCTTTTCCTTCACAAATATAGCCAGGTTGTAGAGAGCTATGAACATTACGAACTATACGTATAATAAATGGGTTATTATTAAGTTGGATTATAATTTCAAGTCCTAAGCGTAAAGGAATAGGATAATATGTTTGTTTTTCTTGAGTTTTTTCTTTAGAAAAAATCCACCAGTCACGTAAATATGGACCATAATGAAGTTCTGGCACAATACTACCAGTTGCAACAAGTTTTCCTGGAGTAATGTGGGATTTTGACATGGGGAAAAAGAGATTTCAAACGCGTTTTTTTTTACTATTAAACATAATGCCGTAATTTACTATATCTGTTCTATCGATCACATGCGGATCAGCAATTAAGTTATAATTGTAATTTGAGTTTTTCTTGGGTTAAATAACTAAATTAAATCATTATCTCTAAAATTTTATATACAGTCGTCCTTCCATATAGTCACCCCCTGTATAATCACAACTCCCTTATAAGCACATTTACATTAATCCCAAGTTACTAATAAACTTATTAAAAAAACCTTTCCTTTAATTACATCATATATAATTTTTATAGTCCCACCATTTTTTTATGGTCCCGCAAGGTATGATTATATGGGAGGATGACTGTATATAGTTTTTTTCTAATCAATTTTAATTAGTCAATTTTAATTTATTTTTATTAAAAATTTGCAATACTTTTATTTGCAAATTCTTTTTTGTATTATAATGATTTAAAACATTAATTAAATTTTATTAATTAAAAAAAAACTATCAAATTTATATCTTTTTTTTTTTAACAGAGTTAGTAATTATGATATATAAAAAAATATATAACAATAACAAAGCAAAAAACAAAAGAATAAAGTTATAAAGTAAAAAATAAAACTCATAAAGAAAGTTAAAGAATAAAATAATAATGAAACCTATAAAGTCAAAAAATAAAATTTTTGATATTAAAAAGTAAAACATATTTGTTAAATCAAAAAACAATATAGAGTAAAAAAATATAGTTAGTAAAAAATAAAAATTAGGAAATAAAATAAGAACCTAAAAATTAAAAAATAAAAAAAAAATACCTATTATAAAAAAAAAAAATGGTCATAATTAAATTAAAAAGTGAACTCATTATAATTCATAAAAAAAATTAATAATCAAATAAAAGCAAATTAAGAGCAAAATGTGTTATATATATAATGTTGAAAAGAAAGGAGTTAAAGAATGGTATAAAAAAAGAAAATATAATTAGTAAGGAACAAAATTAAAAAACAAAATTAACAAAAAAGAGAACTAATATGTTAAAATATTATATTATTAAGCTAAAAAAATAAAATTATTTGTTTCTCATGAAAAAAATTGCTAAATTTGATCCAGTTATCTTATTTTTCAAAAAAAATTTAGCAATTTTCTAGAAAATGATAGTTGATTTAATAAATTTTTTGTCTGGATTATCGGGTAAAAAAAAAAATCATTTTTTTATGATTATGATTGGTCAAAACTAAAATCATATGACTAAATAAAATAAATTTTTTTATTTTTTTGTAATATTTATATAACCCATCCAGTCATGACTCATGAGAAACAAATAATTTTATTTACTTGACCTTATATTAAAAATTATAAAACCTGAAAGAGTCTAAAAACTTAAAAAATATACTAAAAGAAAAATAAAAGCAAATAACAATAATAAATAAAAAAAAGAAAATNATTTGCTTTGTCTGCAAAAAATAGTTGGAATTCTTTTTCTTTGATCTCTGACATTTTTGAACGAACAATAACTGGCTTTTCCAGTATAGGACATCCAGATCCATTAATTCTGGAATGTTTTAGTGCTGCATTAACTGAATTAGGTGAAACCTAAATAATTATACTAATGAGTAATGAAATATTATATACATGTCTCTATAATATATCAAAAATTTCACACTACCTTTAACTCTTCAATTATCTCCTTATATGTAAATTTTTCTGCAATTATTGATAATATGCGTGTTTTACCATCTATTCCTTTGGAATTTGTATTATAACTATTACGAAAAAAATCCCATAATGCACGAGTTGGTGAAGTTACATACAAAAGTCCTTCTGCATATAATTTGGCAATTGTTTCACAATCTTTTTCAGGTTCAGATGCATTCGTCCAAAACTCCTTCTATAAATGTACAGATTTACAGATAGTACAGTATTAATATTATAATTTTACAATATCAATAACACCATATATGTATTTATACTTACACAAGAAATATTTTTGTTATATGGAGTAATATTTGTACATCCTGTAGCACGAAGCATAGTATACAACGCCCGCAATTCTCTTTCTTGAAATTCATAATCTATACCGTATATATCATCAAGATGGGTATATAATTCAATAATGCTACTTTTTTGTTGTATCCAATTTTGAAATATTTGATGCCATTCAACTGATCGTCTAATATTTCTTTTTAAATACAATTCATATAAATGCTCCATAATTATTTCGTTATTCCAATCTGCAAGTGTGCATTCATTAGGCAATTTATTTGAATAAAGTTCTTGACGTGCTTGGTTTATTCTATCTAAAATTAGAGAATGATTTATAACAAATAAAGTTTCACCTAATATAGATGTCAAAACTCCAGTTTTTTTCCAAACAGCGTTAAATGAAATATCTATATATTCAGCAAAGATTTGACTGTTTTGATATATTGTAATTAAAAAAGAATTTTTATCAACGTGTTGATAAAAAACTGATTGTACTCTTTTGTATTTATGAAATAATGATGCTGCATAATTATGGCCAATTTTATTTGTTTTTGATATAGTAATTTTACCAAGACAACTAACAAAAACTGTGATATTTTCTACTTCAACAACAAAAGGACGAAATATGACTCCTTCTAATAGTTTTTGTGCTGTTTCAGGTTGGTCTATACCTAAATAAGAGAGTCCTGCATATTTCATTTTACTACCAAAAACAGATTGATAAACAGAAGTAATAGCCGCGGAAGCACTTGTATTAATACCACTACTTTGTCCTTTTCCTTCACAAATATAGCCAGGTTGTAGAGAGCTATGAACATTACGAACTATACGTATAATAAATGGGTTATTATTAAGTTGGATTATAATTTCAAGTCCTAAGCGTAAAGGAATAGGATAATATGTTTGTTTTTCTTGAGTTTTTTCTTTAGAAAAAATCCACCAGTCACGTAAATATGGACCATAATGAAGTTCTGGCACAATACTACCAGTTGCAACAAGTTTTCCTGGAGTAATGTGGGATTTTGACATGGGGAAAAAGAGATTTCAAATGCATTTTTTTTTACTATTAAACATAACGCCGTAATTTACTATATCTGTTCTATCAATCACATGCGGATCAGCAATTAAATATTTAAATAAAAAAAAAATTAAGTATATGCTGATCGATCATTTTCAAGTTAGTTTTAATGAAAAATCAAAAGTGATAATTAAAACTATCTTTGCTGTTCTGTCATTCTAAGTAAACTTGCAAACCCTATAAAAAAGGAATGTTCAGAAAACATACATAAAATAAATATAAAATGTACATTATACATAAAATGTCTATAGAATGTCCATAGAATACATAGGATATATGCAAAGAGGACTCATACTTTTTTGTACATTTTATATACAGTGAGCCTATTTTGTATATTTTTTATATATTTTATGGACATTCTATAGACATTTTATGTATATTGTATATTTTATGTATATATTCTAAATATTCCTTTTTTATAGGGAAAGTAGCCAAACATAATCTTAATGACTTTTAAAAAATTTATATATTTAATATGTATTAAGAAAATTTTCTCTATTTTGTAATTTTTGATACGTAACAATAAGATGATTGACATGCATTCCGGTCATGCATAATTTGTTTGTCATACATGCAATACCTGTACTTGTGATCAACATTTTGTATACAATGTGTTTTGCATAAATATTATTACCATATTTATCTGTACTAATAAGGCGTTTAAGATAAATAATAAAAAAAAAGAAAAAAAGATAATTACTTTATCATATTTACTTTATCTTTCCAATTAGGAAGAATTTGATATAGTAATGAATCAAGTAATGGATCATAAAGGTAATAATACAGCATAAATATATAATATAAAATTAGAATTATCCCATCAAACTTTTTAAACAATTTTGCAAATATAAACTAACTATATTATATAAAAATTATATAGCCCGTAAGTTAATAGGTTTTCTTACAATTAAATAAAATTAAATAATACTAGATAATGAAATTAATTATTATTTTCATTATATTCTATGTAACTTAATAATTTATTTAATGATTAATAAATACTATAGTTTGTAAGTTATCAGTTATTTAAATTTTTAGTTTTTTTACTATTTATTTTACATAATATTCAAATAACTAAATTCTTTGTTTAAATAACTAATTAATTATATTACAGCTGGTAAGTTATAATACTTAGAATGTTATATTTAATATTATACTTATTTATTAATATTTTAATATAATTTAACTAATTATATTCTTAATTTAAATAAATAGATTGTAAGTAATATATTCAATTTGTAGTGAATATCTTTCTATTATATTTATATTTAACTAATTAAAAATTAATAATAATTTAGGGTGTAAGTTATATGATGTCTATATTTCTATTGTCATACAATTTAAGCTAACTAAATTTCTTTATTTAAAAAATTATTTTATAGATGGTACGTTATTTATTAAATTCTATTATTACTTATTGTTATAATATTTACATATAATTTAAACTAACCAAATTCTTTATTCAAAAAATTATTTAAATAATATAGCTTGTAAGTTATTTTTTATTTCTATTGTTGTATATTTATATAATATTTATTTGCTAACTGTATTCTTTTATTTTAAAATTTCTATTACTTTAGTTGGTAAGTTATGAAATATTGCTTATTATTATATATATTTATACAAAAACTAAGACCTTAAATTCCTATTTAAATTTTAGAGTAAGTGATAATTTTAATCTTAAATTTAGTGTAAATTTTATTATAAACTTTTACATAATTTAATTATTTAAATTTATAGTTTTGGAAAAAGTGGAAACAAAATCTTAGATAAATTTATTCTTGAAAAAAGGTTAAAATGGATTCCTTATTATAAATTTAAAAATGTTGAATATCTTAATAAAGGAGGATTTGGTACTATACACAAAGCTATTTGGTCATATGAAAATAGAGATAGAGAAGTAATTCTTAAATGTCATAATAATTTAAATGAAAATTTAAATGAATTTTTAAATGAAGTATATTATTTTTTTAATTTAAATTATTATTTACTTATATTAACATATTATTATTTTTTATAGTGGAAATATCATGAAAGTTGTTTGGGTTCATATAACATTATTTATTTTTATGGATTTACAAAAAATCCAGATACCTTGAAATATATGGCGGTAATGGATTATGCAAACAAAGGTGATTTAAGAGGAAACTTAATAAAAATAGTTGAAAGTGGTTGGGATCAAAAATTATGCATGTTGTATGAAATTATTTCTGGACTTCAAGATATACATAATCAAAATCTTATTCATCATGATTTTCATGATGGCAATATTTTAAATCATGATGAGAGTAAAATTTTTATTAGTGATTTAGGATTATGTCAACCTGTAAAATCATTATTGGAAGAACATAATATTTATGGTGTTGTACCATTTATGGCACCTGAAGTATTAAGAGGCAAACCTTATATTCCAGCTAGTGATATATATAGTTTTTCTATGATTATGTGGGAATTTACATCTGGAATACCACCATTTAATAATAGAGCACATGATATTCAACTTAGTTTAAGTATTTGTGGAGGTGAACGTCCTGAAATTATTGAAAATACTCCACAATGCTATGTTGATTTGATGAAAAAATGTTGAGATGAAGATCCATTAAAAAGGCCATCTTCTAAGGAAGCTTCAAAAATTATTAATGAATGGATTTCTCTTCCTTATAGTAATAAAATTGAAGACATTAGTGAAGAATTAAAATGCAATATTATGGAATTTATAAATGCACCAATTGGGCATAACAATCTTGTTACTGAATCTCACCCACAAGCTTATTGTACAAGTCGCTTACTTAATTTTACTAGTAAACAATTGAATGAAATTCTTGAAAGTAAAAATTCACAAACTAGTGTACAAGTGAGTGAAATGCTAGTAAGCGAAGACTTGAATGAATGTATAATTAGGTATGTAAAGTGTATATAATATAGCTGGTATAATATAAAACAAATTAATTTACAAATTAATTAATTTATTTATTTAATATTTAGATATTAAAACAAATGAAAATTAACCAATTATTTGTGTTTTAAAAAGATATAGCTTTTTTTTGTAATATTTGATATCATTTAACAAAAAATTGTTCTTTACTTTATTCTTTTTAGATTTATTTAAACACTAAGGCTAGAGTAGTAAAATATTTTAAAGATTCTTAGTTTGTAATTTAAATAATTCCTTTTTTTATATTTTATCAAATATTAAATATAAGTATTCTCTTCTTGGAATTATTTAAACACTAGGACTAGAGTAGTAAATATTTTACAAATTTCTTAGTTTGTAATTTAAATAAATCTTTTTTATTATAAATTATCAAATAATAAGTATATAAACCCATTTCTAATACATAAATTAAAAATTAATAATGTAAAATTTGTTATACTTATTTCAATAGCTGATTGTATTTAGTTTGTATTGTGGGTGGGCTTCTGAAGAATGGAAAACCAAGATTTGTAAGTATATTGACTTTATTTTAATATTATTTAAATATTTTGATCAATATAGGAATTACACCTATATCAGAGCTGGGTGATTCATCGATCAAAAATGCGAACTGGACGACTGATCAATAATACATAATACTGCATAGACAGTTTATTTTTAAAATATGAAATAAATTCAAAATGATATTTCCAGAAGCTAACCATCAACTGAACCTTTTTTCTTTTGTTTTTTAAAGAGATTATGCTCTCTCTCTCACTTGTAATTGCAATTCTTATTTATACTTATAACGATAATCAGTTATCAAAACTGAATTTTCTATTTCGACTACTAAACCAAACCTAATTTCAAGTATAAAACATATAAATTATGCTATCAGAATTTGTAGTATAATTCCTATAAATTGTAATCAGTTATTCTTCTAATATTTTGTCCATTGCTTATGTTAATTTTAATTCAAATCTTAACTACACTAACCTGAGCCAAAGCAATGCGAAATAACTGGGCCTATAATAAATCGTTAAGTCCCTCATATTTGTAAAAATGGCGGCGAAATTTATTACTATACTTTTGATTAGCTGATGGAGAATAGAATAGTAATATGTAACTCCCAATATCACTGGAGCTTATTTAGATGGATGGCTTTAATTTGATTTCTATTATTCCTTTATTTATTCTGAACGAGCAAGCTGCAATCGTATATTATTCACCTATAATCAACAGACGTATATTTAGCAAGTGTGTTTACAGTCTGGTAGGCGGATTGGAAGAAGAATTCATTAACTTTAATGCACATACTGATCATATATTAACAAATTTATCAACCCAAATACAACAATGCTTATATTAAGACCAGTATCAAAGGATATTTTTTACAAGAGGAATTTTATCATGATCGTAACTATCAATTGATTTTTTTAATTTTAGAAAAATAAAAATTAAAATCTTTATTCCTTTTTTCTCTTTAGTTGCCTCAATTTTATCAAGAATCGGTGGATTCTTTAGCTTTTTGTCAAGAGTTTTCGTATTTTTATTTGGAGCAACTAAGTTAGCGCCATGGTAAGTTAAAAAATGATTTTATACAATTTGTAATTATAGTATTTATAATATTTAATTTCTTTTGATAGGGGATTTTTACAAACATATGTGTTTAGTTACTTATGTACAGAATATCAAAGAAAACTTTTAAGGAAACTTAAAAATAAATACGAACCAATTCCATTCATTGATGGAAGGACCAAAAATGTTACATTGGAAGAACACGTTCAAAATATTGAAAATATGCTTAAAGAATATTTTCTTGATACTTATTTTTTGAATTTATTGGTAAAAGACAATAATAAAATCAATGATAAAGCTGACAATAAAGTTTAGATAATATAGATTTCTTGATATTACCGTATAAACATTAGTATAACATTATTAAATTTATTAAGTGTAACAATTAATATATTTGTAGTTAAGCGTTATTTTATTTTGTTTGTTATCTGATATGTAAATTTCTATCTAGCAAACCAATAAATTTCCTTTTGTAATTACGATTGGTATTACTACTAAAAAATTGGAAGTTTTACAGGAAGAGCTACTATTACCTCACTAGAAGTTTCTTTACAATGAACACTGCCAATATTCAAATTTAGACGATGAATACAAGCGCACAGGAAACGTTTTTTATGTTAACTATACTGTATGATTTATTGACCTTAACAAAAAGTATTAATTTAGTTTATTATAGACCTTTAGGAACTTTCATTCTCATAAATTTTATGTATGGAACGAAATGTTATTTAGAACTTGGAACTAGTTCAAAAAGTTTTAAACGGTGGTAAAACTTGATTTCAATATTAGTGTTAATCACGGATAAACGGATAAGGCGGATTTTAGACATTATCTTTACAGACTATAATTATCTGATTATTTAATCAGATACCAAATAATCGATTCTGTGGCGTCCAATATCTTAATGGACCAATTTATAATTATCTGCGTTAAACCAGTCATGCACTGTCCGCCAATCACATAACTATTAAACACGTGATTTTTCTAATGTCGTTATCTCACTTAATTCTGATCAAAAATTTGGCCAGAGTTATAAAATGCCGGTTTATAATTTTGGCCAGAGTTGAAAAAATACTGATCGCAAAATTTAAATATGTTAACAAAATAATATTGATTTGATGTTAACCATGGCAAAATTTTGAAATTTTTGTTAAAAGAAACTTTTAATAAAGTAAAAAATTAAAAAATCAATATTTGCATTTTTCTAAAATAATTATAGTTAATTTGTTATTCAGTTAGTTATTGATTAATTTGATATTAAAATTCTCTAATTATTATCATCTAAGAAACTAGACATTTATCAATGAAAAAAATATTAAAATAAGGGTTTTGTTTTTTATCGCGCCCGCGACATGTCGCATGGGTCACGCCACCAAATTTTATTGGTGGAAATCTTGTGCCACGTTTGCGGCACAGTAAATAATGTTTTATTTTTTTTTCTAGAAACGGTTCTGAACTTTGTAATTTCTTTCATTTGTTTTTAGTTTTTTTTGTTTTGGAAACGTCTTCTCTTTCTTTTTTTTTTTTAGAAGCACCTTGGTTTTTTGTTAAACTTAAACCTAAACTTTGAGATTAGTAGGTAGTTTTTTACTTTAGTTTGTTTTTAATTTTTTTTTTCTTGATTTGGGATGTAACATTCCTCTTTGTTTCTGGATATAAAATTTGGCTTTGACTTTATAATTAGGGAGAAGTGTAAGTGTTTTTATGGTTTTTATTGATTTAACATTTCTTTTTTGCTTTTTTGTAAAGATAGACATATCCTAAAGATAAAGAACGCGAAAATCAAGAACACAAAGACAAAGAATACAAAGATCAAGGACAGCATCAAAGGGTAATTACATCCAAAGTTAAAGAACGCGAAAATCAAGAACACAAAGACAAGGAACATAAGATCAAGAATAGTATCAAAGGTTAATTACATCCCAAAGTTAAAGAACGCGAAAATCAAGAATGTAAAGACAAAGAATACAAAGATCAAGGACAGTATCAAAGGGTAATCACATCCAAAAATAAAGAACGTAAAGATTAAGAACCATAAGAACAACATACATCAGAGAGTAATCACATCCCAAAGTCCAATAAAAAAAGAGAAAAAATATTAGTAATGTTCCAAATCAAAAAAAAAACAGAAAGAAAATTAAACAAAGAAACTAACCCACCAATTTCAAAGTCCAAGTCAAAATCTGGAGTCAAAATATGCCGTTCCTAAAAAGAGAAGATACTTACGATTTCAATGTCCTAAAAAAAAGGAAGGAACGTTAGTAGTGTTCCTAAATCAAAGAAAAACAAATCCCTTACTTACAATTTTGAAGCCCAAGCCGAAGTCTATTTTCTCTTCTTTGACTTCTTTTCTTGGCTTCTTTTTCTTCTTTTTTTTTCATCTTTCACTCCTCTCCTCTTTCTTTTTTTCTCTTACTACTATTCTCTTTCCTCTTTACCAATTCCTGAAATACCGTTTCTAAGAAAAAAGAAAGAAAAGAATGTTTCTAAATTAAAATACTATACAAAAACACAAAAAAATCACAAAATACTCACCATTCTAAAGTCTCAAGACGAAGTCTTGATCCAGAAACGTCCCTAAAAAAAAGGAAGAAAAAGGAATGTTAATAGCGTTCCTAGGTCAAAGAACAATACAAAAACGTAAAAAAAGAACGCTAAAGTCTAAACACTCACCCTTCCGAAGTCCAAAGCCAAAGTTTTGGTCTGAAACATCCCTAAAAAAAAGAAGAAAAAGGAACGTTAATAGCGTTCCTAAGTTTAAGTTTAAAAACAAAGCAAAAAATGCAAAGAAAAATGCAAATACTCACCAATACGGAAGTCCAAAGCCGAGCGGAAACGTCTCTAAAAAAAGAAGAAAAAGGAATGTTAGTAGCGTTCCTAAATCAAAAAAACTACAAAAAAAAAAAAAATACTCACCAATCCGAAATCTGAAGTTCAAAGCCGAACGTCCGTTCCTAAATAAAAAAAGAATTAAAAAACAAAAAAAAATCGCATTACATTTTGCACCGCAAAATGGGTGGCACAAAATTTTCACCAATAAAATTCGGTGGCGTGACCCATGTGACATATCGCGGGTACGATAGACAAAACCCTTAAAATAAATTCTGATTGTTTTTAGGGTAAATCACAATTATAAAGCAAACTTTATTTATTTTAATATGTTTTGATATATTAAATAACCAGCTAAGTAATAAATGAATATAATGAGTAGTGGGTCAAAAGTTTTTCATACTACATTACGATAATTCCACAATAATTGGTCCTACCGCAAAAAGGCTGCGGCAAAGTTTGTTGTTACTTTTTTAATGTCATATTAAAAAGTAGAAGATATGTTAAATCTTATTTATTGATTTATTTATTTTTCACTTTTTTTTAAAAAAAATTGAACTATAGCTTACAAGTTACAACGTTAAATAAAAGTATTGGATCAATATAATATAGAAATTTGTCTTGTGTACTGATTGTCAATCATAATTATCATAATTTTCAAATTTTTCGCGATAAAGATTACAATAAATTGCCATCACGGTTGACGGCAACTTCGTTATGTCGAAAGCGGCTGTGATTATAATAATAATGGGTGTAATAATTAAATAACACTCTTTACATTAATTTTGAAATTGTATTAATCGAATTAATATCTAGTAATGTATATAAATTTAATTTAAATTTACCTTTTTAAATCAAAGAAATAGTGTATAATTTGGGTCACAGATCTGGTATAAATTAAATATTTGGCACTTCAATTTAAAAATTAATTTTAAAATCAACACTATATTACTTTTGCATCTATTTATTACTAATAAAGTTTTTTTCAAAAAAAAAGAAATGAACCTTTTATTTCTCTTTTAATAAAGGATCTGGAAATGATTTTTTTCCTAGTAATTATAAAAAAAATAAATACTCTGAAATAGAAATTCGAAATAATCATAATTTTACATTATATAAATCAGGGATTGGCAAGATATTTGTAAAAAAAATTCTTGAAAAATCACGTAACCTTTTCATTACGGATCTTCCTCGCAATTTTTACTATCTGTCACATGTGAGCCACACTTAATTTCAATCAAGTTGCGTAATGCTTTGACAGGTTACGCTGGAGTCGAATAGATTTTTGGTCATAGAAACTAATCTAGTATTGAATTGGCTGATTGATTAAAAACCAAATTTTACAACCTATTCTACTGCACCACAAAATTTAGAGGCGCAACTCCATTTTTTCAGAAATTTCCAAAGATTGATTAAAACTGCAGGACCGGATGAGCGTCTTTAATAAAATAAAAGTATTTTCAATAAAAAGGTCTTACTTTGGAATATAAACATTTTCATACTAATTGTTTTAGTTGTTATGATTTCAATGAGTAGCGTTTATTAAGTTACGCGAAATAAATATGAATTTAACTTGTATTTAAATGTCAAAAATTAATTATATTTCAGTTATTTTGTTAATTTTTTATACACTATTATTTTTACGAATGCTTTATCGTCAGGTATTGATTTAATGAATCAACTTATGACCATTTGATTTTAAAATATCGCGTCTAGTACCATATATAAACTAACTTATGATCGCAAAAAGAAATAAAGTATATTTATTAAACAAGCTATACTAATAGTTGAAATTTAGAAATAATGATATTACTATTCTACATTAATAATTTCTTTTTCTATCTTATTTAATAATTCTTGAGAAATTATACCAGCAACGCTCATACCATTAGCTTCTTTATACTTAAATTCTTTTTGGCCAAAATTAACATTTAAACTACAAAATCCATTAGAACCAATTGTAGGATACCAATTATAAAATAGACTGGTATAAGCGATACCCAAATTCTTACCATTCATTGTAAAGAAAATTTGTCCAGTATTTGGACAATAACCACAACCTATTACATCATTTACTTTGCCCCATTTTTCAGCATATTTTGTACCAGTATATCCTTCATTGTGGAATTTTTACCTTCGTCTGAATGAAAACCAACAGAATGTGTATCACAACCAGGCAATCTTAAAGTAAAAAAAAGAAATTTTAGGAATCGTTTAATTTGATCATTAAAATTTTTTTGTAGAAATAAATACCTGTTAATTGAATAATTTTTCGTGGCAAGACCAATAGCAATTATTGTTTTATCATTATTCGGATTCGAAGAAATTGTTATTTCATAGTAATAGACAATACTCTATTGATTGTGTGGAAGAAGTATCTATTATTGTATTTAGAATTCGGTAGCAAATATGTTAGATCATAAATTAAGTAATAAGATTGACTTAATATATAAATAGTTCTTACGCATATTCAAAGCAATAGTATCAAATGGTATATTGTTGATATTTGATAAAGGATAATTTGTTTGTATCATAACGTCTGATTTAGCATTAAAAGAAATTTTAATATTAACATCATTTTTATCATTATCAATGACTCCGATCTTATTGATTTCTTTGTTATAAACGCTCTCAGTCTCATCTTCTCCCTATAAAAAAAAAATGTCCAGTTTTTGTTCAGAAATTGACCGCCTATATTTTCCGGACAAAAACAGGATCTATAAACATCCGGAATATTGCAATATTCTGGACATTCATAAATAAGGAATTCATCCGGTTTTTGCCATATATTTGTCCGTCATTTGTCCAAATTTTGATTATTCATAAATAAGTAATTTGCTTATATGATTTACTTTATAGTTTTTTTTAGCAGTATTAGTATTTATTTATTCAAATTAAAAGCATAACAATAAAAATCATAGAGTCATAGACTATTTATTATATAATAAAAACAATAACTTTATTATAAATTAATCAATTAATACGATATGCCCTATAAAAATTAATTGTCCGTAAAATGTAATAGTAAATAATTGATAAATAACGGTTATATAGATGTCTAGTAATTAACCATTTTATATATGTATTTTAAATGTTAAATATACGGAAAAATAAGCCCATCCGTTTTATGTTTGTAATCTAAATGTAAATTATTTGCTTATTAAATGTACTATTCACTAGTAGTATATATATAACCCATTCTATTATTCATCATCCGTATA